TGTTCAAAATATTTAGATTTGGTATTGTATAACCCATAGAGGTTGATATGCCACAAAAAACAAAAAAAAAAACCCAACTAATTCAGCCTTCTTCAGGTACATAATTCATGAATCAACGTTTCGGCCAATGTACACTCTGACCTTCTTCAGGTGGTTGGAATGTCGAACTGAACCCTTTATTTCACTCACTGGACTAGACTGTTCTAGTTCCACATGCCATGTCTAATGAATGTCAGTTATCAGTTATCTCCTGTTAATTCCCTTATCCAAGCTCTCCACTGCCTTAACCAGGTATTGAACTCACAAATCTTTGGGTCCTGTTACTGGATTTAACCAATGCCTTTATCCACTGTGCCATGTGCCTGTTAGGATAAATATGGCAACAAAGATGAGGACAATAGTCTGAATAATGTAAATAGTGTACATAATATCTCATCTTAGAAATCTAGTCAGATAATTCATGAAGTTTTGTTGTTTGATTCTTTTTTTTTCCATCAGGTAATATTACCAAAAGCATAAAAGAAAAGAAACAGGTACACATTGTCTCATGTGTAACCTGTGCAACTAGATTATTTTTGGAATTTGGAAATTTTTGTGTAAGAATGGTATTCCAGGTGCCTATGTAAAGTGGGTATCACAGTGCTTTAGGATACTGCATCTAGTTCTCACAGATATTGTGAGATACTCTGAAATTTTAATATGCTGATTTACTTTAAAAGGGAAAGCAATTTAATAGACTCTGAAGTGATTGATTCATTTATAATGTATGTACAAGCTCTAATCCACTAGGCTGTTATCCTATGGGACAATCCTGAGGGCAGAATGTGGAACCTTAAACTTACTCTACTTGCTGCTGCATATCACACTTGACCAATATATTGTAAATCAATCACTTAATTTTGTTTGCTTCTGCTATAAAGTTAATTTTACTTAAAAATTAAACATTTCTTGAAGTGATGAATTTATTTAGAGTAATTCAAAACAACTTTATTATTTTTGTTTGCTTAAATAAATTTTGACTACAGTCTTTTTTTCTTTTTCTTTAAATATACATTTACTTAACCAAGCATTTACAAAACACTTTAACACTACTGATATAGAGAATAGATATGTCAATTTTTATCTGGAGAGGAATGTGCAGTTTGGTTTATGTTGTCGACTAAATAAGACACCCCCTCGTAACACAAATGAAATAGGCAAAACGCCTTAAATAAAGAACGCAAAGTGTGTCAGTAGAAGTCCGTTGGAGTCAGTCAGAGAGAATTCTAATGATGTCACAGCGAGTAGACTAAGCAAGGGATAATATTATAACCACTAGTGAGTTAAAACAGTTTAACATTTTCAGTCTTCAAAATTTTAAAAGAAAACATGGAAAAAATATGCAAACTGAGATTTTCAGGTGTGTCAGGCTTTGAGAAGCACTGAGGCACAACTGTATGTTATGGTTGAAGTAAATGCTATCTCAATAACTTCTGTTATATTTTTATTTTCTTATTTACTAAAGTTCACTCAATACAAAGCTTGAGAACCACTCAAAGTAGAGTTAGTGTGAATTTAGTAATGATAAATGAAATGTTTGATATAAATGAAAGAGGAGGTGGTAGGAAATAAAGATTAGAAGGATAAGGAGAACAGATTAAAGTTAACCCTAGTTTTGAAAAGATTAGAAATGTAGTGTAGATGTTTAGAGTTATGATGAATGAGGTGATAGGAAGTGAAGATTATTAGGATAGTGATGATAGATAACAATTGTCCCTTGACTTGATGTTAAGATTGTAGTGTAGAGGGTTACTTTTTAAAAAGTTTATGATGATTGAGGTGTGTGATATGAATGAAAAAGGTGGTGGTGGGAAGTGAAGAATATGAGGATAAGGGGGATAGGTTACAATTGACCCTTGACTTGAAATGGTTAGGCTGGTAATGTAGAGGGTTACTTTTAAAAAGATTATGATGAATGAGGTGTGTGATATAAATGAAAGAGCAGGTGGTGGAAAGTGACGATTATGAGGATAAAGAGGACAGATAAAAATTAACCCTACTCTTAAAAAGGTTAAGAATGTAATTTTTAGGGAAGCACCCATGTGGGAGTCTGCTCTACAAAGTAGCAGTTCTTGAGAAACAAAAAAACCTTCTGAGTATAACTTTCTTCTTAGATTTTGAATATGAAGTAATGTGCAGTAAATTTGTGAATATTTGGGGTTTTATGTCCTACAAATCGCAAGCAAACTACATTCACAGAAGAAAAAAAAGTTTAGTTATTGGAGCTTTTTTGATTTCAGGATTCTGGATAAGTGATTGTGTACCTGTATAAATGACCCTGCTTGTAACCTTTATTAGTAGCTGATTCAAAATTAGTTTATGTAGTTATTTACAATGTTTTATCTGGTGCATGACCAAAGTCATGTGATATCACATAGGGATTAATCTCAATAAAAGTAAGATAAACTTTCTTAGTATTATACTAAACCAGGTACCCACCCTGTGTATGCAATCATGCATCTTTATAACTTTGTATATACAAGGTTATTTACCTCACCATCCCGCGAGGTAGGATGTGGCACAAGGCCTTTTTTTAATGCAGGGTAAAACCAAGCTTGTAGGCTCAGGCAAAAATTCCCCCGTAGACCCCATATACATGGAGTCGGGTAGCTGTCTACCTTCCCAGATGAGACTCTGCCCTTCAGCATAGCCTTGTCTGGGTTCCTCTCTGCTGAAGGCAGAGAGTTTGACTAGCTTAGCCGGAGACGAATCTCCAACTAATTGCTGAAGCAAGCCAAACTTTGTATATACAAGGATTAATTGATAAATGAGCTCTCCAGTCTTATAAAACAAGTTTTAGTCCAGACAGAATAATGAAACTGGGATGAAGTAAATTTATTCCCCTTTGAAATTACAAGTTTATTTTTCATCATAGTCACTGTCTTAGAGCAACAAGGATTGATGGTTATCTAAAATCTCCAGTCCTATAAAAAATGGATTTTAAACCAGATAGTTATAAAATTGATATTAAAATGAAATATATTTATTTTTCAACAGATTTATGAGTTGATTGATAATTAATGGCTCCAATCCTATAAAATAACTTTTGAGATGAAGATAGAATGATGATCCTGGTATCAAAATGGAATATATTACTGTTTAAAAAGGGTTATTTTTCAATTAAGTCTCAATTAATGATAGATATTTTTTTTAATATTCTATCTATTCTTTCATTGCGACCATGAAGAGAGCTTTTTTTTATCCAGTTGTGTACAACAACTTCAACAAGTGAAAAGTGTTGACCTTTCAGTGCATCATTCAATTTGAGGAACGACGAGGAGCTTACTGGTGCCAAATCAGAACTGTACCTAGGGTATACAATGACTGGATTATAGGCTTATTAGCATTTGTACAGTTTGTTGACTGCAATGTGACCTTGTTTTTGTGTGTCGTGGGTAAGACGATAAACAACATCCAATAGCAAGGCTTCTGATCAGGAGGTTTTGAGGAGCGTGGAACCACCTCTTAATTGCTGGTGTTCCCAAGTTCAAAAAAGAATATTACCAGCAATATACTTTTGGAAAAAATATTACTAGAAATACTTTTTGAAAAAAATATTACCAGCAATAAAAATTTTATCAACATTAAATAACCCATTGAGGTTGATATGCTGTAAAACAGACAAAACCAAACCAAACTAAATCTTGTTTTGTTTTGATGCAAAAAAAAACAAAAAAGAAAGAAAAGAGGGCTCACATTTCAGGCTTTATTCAGGAGTTATATTGATCGAAATCTCAAATGGTTTCTTTGCTTTCATATATTCACGAAATTTTATTGGTGTGCAATGAAAATTCTGTCAGGGATCACTATATCATACCATTGACTAACAAATGTTATAAACATTGTGAACTGACAATAAGAATTTTTTTTTTTTTTTCAATTTAAAAAAATCGTAAGTGACATATTTATCACGAGCATAAAAGCTGCAGAGTGCTCTTGATTGGGTCTTTAGCTTGTTCAGGAGTTTGACAATCCCTAAGTCTATGCATAGTCCCAGAAAGCTCTCCTGGCTGCCATTTGATCTTGGTTTTCACTTGCACAGGAGTTTCTTTTCCTTGCTGCAGTCTTGGCTCTTTCAGTTGCAACTTTTTCTTTTTCAAAGGTATACTGCTACTCTATGCGATAGGCAACAAACTACAGAAGAACTTGAAATTGATCACTGCATTTAAGTATCACATTAATATTTAAGCTTACCTTTTAAAAGTTCAATGATAATTCTTCTGCCACCACTTTGATGTACGTAGGTCTTTACTGTCCACACAAACAATTATTTTTATTTCATGGTTGACTTTTACTGGATTTTGCAGTTAATTTCTATTATTTTCAAATTTATTTCCAAATTATGAAAATTGTTATCATACAAAAAAAATTTGTCACAAAAAAATCACATAAAAAATTGTCTAAAACAATCGCAATTATGAAAACTTGGAAATCCAACTTTCAGGACTGTAGGTCCAGATCCATCCCAGAATGTTTTTAATTTGTTCATGGAGTTAGCCTGATTCCAAAATGGTATGATATGTTGGGCCACAGCCTCTAGGAGTAAAGTTGAAAAAGTGTGACACACTGACATTTTCATTTATTTATACAGATATACACATTTCAACTCCTTGATAACTCCTGGTTTTATTCTTCTTTTAATACAGATAACATGATGCTATTCCCCATTCAATTAGACGGTCAGTCTAGTGCTGCAAAAAAATAATTACTGTATAAACTCACGGATAGGTCACACCCTTAGTTTGGGTTTGTCAAATTGGGTATTTGTGGTTGACTTGCAGATAGGTGACACTATAAGCTGGGGAGTTACGTGGCCCTTTTTTTTAATGTAAATATAACTAATATTTGTTAAATATTTTCAAATATTCACCTTTATTTCAAAACTTTGCTTACATATATTAAAACATAGGAAAATTGTTCATTTAGATATAATTATTAAACTTCATCAGGATTGAAACCCCATGATTCTTCTTCATCATCATCACTGTCAAAGATTCTTTTCATTTTATATACCTATCGAGTGCAGGGCTGCTCCGTTTTGACGAAAATTTGGATACTGTGAATTGCTTCAGTCCAAAAATCACTGAAGTTTGTTTTGTTTTACAGCATATCAACCACAATGGGTTATTTAATGCCAACATAATTTCCTTTTTTTATTTTCAAAAATGTATAGTTGGTAATATTGATTTTACAAAATGTATAGTTTGTTTTGTTTTGTGGCATATTAACCTCAATGGGTTATTTAATGCTGACAAGATTTTTATTTCTGGTAATATTTTCTTTTTTCAAATATTTATTGCTGATACTATTTTAAAAGTATTTCTCATATTAAAATCTATTTTTACACTTTCATAGTGTTTTGAGTCAGGTTGTGGGGTCAACTATTTGCCCATAGCTGGGACCCTAACAGGTGCTACCACCCCAGGTCAGGGTGGACCTGGAAACACCAGCAATTAAGAGATGGTTCCACGCTCCTCAAAACCTCCTGATCAGAGGCCTTGCTGCTGGATGTAGTTTATCGTCTTACTCAGGACACGGATGCAGTTTATTGTCATACCCTGGATGTCAAAAATCACTTAAAAATGGTAGTTGTAAATTAGATAATAAATAGTAAATATGATTGAGTGCTTTTGTTCAATGTTTGACACAGTACTATTGGAAGAGGTGGTTCATATTTCTCCCCGGTCTGTTAAACAGGAGTAGAGGGTTATGCCTTGTTTCCTGCTTAGGATTCCTTCTAAAGTTTTTTTCATTCTCTTTCACTGCCAGGAGCCACTTGCATCTTAGTGGCATTATCACCTTGTATGGGGTGATTTGATAAAAAGAAAAAAAAAGAAAAAAAGAGCTTCTCATTTTTTTCATATTATTTACACATTTTAAAAATAACACTTTTTGTGACATCTTAAATATTTTTAGCCAATTTAAATTTATAATTCAAAATGTATATAATAAATAAATAAGAAATAATTCAAAGATTACTGTATATTTCTGTGAATAAGGTAACATTTAAATCTTAAAAATCACCCCCCTCCAAAAAAAAAAAAATTGTCATCTAATACAACGGTTGCAAAAAGCTAGCCTTAAAACCTTTGTTATATCGTCACTGGTAAGTAGGCTAGTATGCTTGTGTCATGGACTGCAGTAGGCTAGCAACTGCCTCTTTAGTCTTTATGATAACTACCAATGTAAATATTTCTAGTTGAAACAATTCAATTAATGTTGTACTACAGTTATAAATGTAATAAAACTACTTTTACTTTTTGATTTCACATTAAAATGTAATATTCAAGAAATGGTTACAAAACAATTTGCAAAAGTTCCACTGAACAACATGCACAAGTAACGATATTTATTCTGTAAAATATACAGAAATGTGGCACAAGGCCGAAATGGGGGAATGGAGAAAGGACGGTCTTCTTCTGTCTTAATTATAACTTAGCTAGCTGCAAACACTGATCCAATCGTACGAACAATATTCCTTACACCAAAACAACATATTCATACGTACCTTTCTAACTACAAACACCATAATACCTCATCGTCTCTATGAAAACACTAACTAATCCCCATATATACAATTCAGTGTCTGTGGGGGGAGGGGAATAAAACACAAGTAACATAAACAAATCTTTCATTCTTGATTTGTAAAGCTATGGGTGCATCCATAATTTTTAATTAAAATTTATTATCATTGTTGTGTTAAATAGCAACATTTAGTATAACATGCAAACTTAATTTTTCAATACGATACATTATACAGTATTTCAGCAATGCTAAGCAACAAAACATTTAAGACGCCATAAAATCTTTATTTCTCATTACAGAATTAAAAAAACAAGATATCCACATACATAATTAAAACTCTTCCAAAGTACTCTGATCATCACTATCTGATGCAAAGGGCTCATCATCGTCTTATACTATGGATATCAGATAAAATCAGATTTTATGTTTCATCTTATGTATCGGTCGCCTTCTATATGGAAATATACACGGTAATTCAATAAAGAATTCTGATGTACCACTGTGGAATCTTGTGTGCCAGGACTCCAGACTAATTTTGTTCACATTCATTCCGGAACTGTTCCGAAACCAACTTTAATTGTCCGGAAAAAAATTTTTTTTAAATTGTCCTGAAATCAAAATTATTTTTTTTAACTTTATCATTTATAATTGTTAGAATTAAAATCTTTAGGAAATAAAAAAAAAAAAGATGGAATATTAAAATTTTCAAAATAAATAAATACAAAAACAAATTAATTAAATTTTATTGTAATTTTTTTTTTTCCAAACTCACATCTTCATTTTCATTTAAATATTTCAGTTAAATCACTGTGATTAATTTTACATGGAAATGTTCTCATTAATTAATTTTCATGGTCAGAGTAACTTTTGTTAGACTTTAAGGAAGGGATTCTAGGCATTCAATTTCCATATAATTAGCATATTCCAATTACTCATAACCAAAAATCATTTTTCAAGTTTTTATAAAAAAAAAATAATTTACAAATACCTGTCTTTCATTGTGTTTATCATTTTCTTAAGTTCTCTTCTGCATTTCCAACTTCATCTTAGATAAGCAGAAAAACATAATGCGTCAGTTGTTACCTTCTGTCTTCTTAATTCTTGTTCTTTTATTGTACTCTCCTTAATAGTAATTTTTCTCATATTCTCTAACATTTCCTATCTATCTATCTATCTATCTATCTATCTCGTGCCTTCATATTAAAGTCTGTTCATATCTATCTATCTATCTATCTATCTATCTATCTATCTATCTATCTATCTGTCTATCTATCACAGTCTTTTTATATCTATTTATCCATCTTCCTCAGTCAGTTTATATCTGTCTCTCTTTCTCAGTCATTTCCTATCTATCTATCTATCTATCTATCCCACACTGTCCATATCTATCTCGGCATCTATTGCTAACTCTCACTTGCTTTCTATTTCATTCTGTTCATAACTACCTGACTATCTATTCCACTCTGTTTATATCTATCTATCTATCTATCTATCTATCATCTATCTATCTATCTATCTATCTATCACAGTCTTTTTATATCTATTTATCCATCTTCCTCAGTCAGTTCATATCTGTCTCTCTTTCTCAGTCAGTTCCTATCTATCTATCTATCTATCTATCTATCTATCACAGTCTTTTTATATCTATTTATCCATCTTCCTCAGTCAGTTCATATCTGTCTCTCTTTCTCAGTCAGTTCCTATCTATCCATCATCCCACACTGTCCATATCTATCTATCTCGGCATCTATTGCTAACTCTCACTTGCTTTTTATTTCATTCTGTTCATACCTACCTGACTATCTATTCCACTCTGTTCATATCTATCTTTACCACAGTCTTTTTATATCTATTTATCCATCTTCCTCAGTATTCATTCATCTCTTTCATCTATCTATCTATCTATCTATCTATCCCACACATCTCTCGGCATCTATTGCTTTTTTATATCTATCTATTCCACTCTGTTTATATCTATCTTCCTATCACAGTCTTTTTATATCTATTTATCCATATTCTCAGTCTTTATATCTGTCTCTCTTTCTCAGTCAGTTCCTATCTATCTATCTATCTATCTATCTATCTATCTATCTATCTATCTATCCCCATCCATCTATCTATCTCGGCATCTATTGTCTTTTTTCTATTTCATTCTATTTATCCATCTGTTTATATCTATCTATCATCTATCTATCTATCACAGTCTTTTTATATCTATTTATCCATCTTCCTCAGTCAGTTCATATCTGTCTCTCTTTCTCAGTCAGTTCCTATCTATCTATCTATCTAG